CTTCTTGGGCGCTTTTTGGAGTCGGTCTTCGACTCCGGCCACTGCCTGGTTCAGAGCCTCCACGCTTCGCCCGTCGGGAGTGGCGTCGCAAAAAGCCAGCAACCGCGGATCGTTGGACCACGCAAAAGGGTCGCCGTCGTAATCCGCGTTGCTAGGCGTCGGAGAGTTTGTGCCGCATCCGGAGACCGCGGCGCACACCCATGAGTACCGGCAATGCGGGGATTTGGCCATGCCTGAATCACACGGGACGCGTGAATTCATAGACGGCGGAGAGCTCGCGCCGCGTCCGGAGACTGCGGCATAAACCCATGGGCGGCGGCAACCGTTTGAGACAAGCGTATGAGTGCCGGCAATGCGGGGATTTTGCCATCGCGTGAATTCATAGGCGGCGGAGAGCTCGCGCCGCATCCGGAGACTGCGGCACAAACCCATGGGCGGCGCCAACCGTTTGAGACAAGCGTGGGAGTGCTGGCAATGCGGGGATTTTGCCATGGCTGACTCACACGGAACGCGTGAATTCATAGGCGGCGGAGAGCTCGTGCCGCATCCGGAGACTGCGGCACAAACCCATGGGCAAGTGTGTGACCACTTGCAATGCGGGGATTTTGCAATGGCTGAGTTACACGGAACGCGTGAATTCATAGGCGGCGGAGAGCTCGCGCCGCATCCGGAGACTGCGGCGCAAACCCATGGGCGGCGCCAACCGTTTGAGACAAGCGTCTAATTACTGGCAATGCGAGGATTTTGCGATGGCTGAATCGCACGGAACGCGTGAAGTCATAAGCGGCGGAGAGCTCGTGCCGCACCCGGAGACTGCTCCGCAAACCCATGGGTGGCGCCAACCGTTTGACACAAGCGCTTGATCCAGCGCGGTCACGGGCGGCGCCGCCCGCAGGATTGTCGCTTCTGCTAAAGCTGATGTTTTCTAAACCGGCCCAGCCCGTAGGAAAGCTTGTTCCCGTAAGGGAGACTGCGGCGCAAACCCATAGGTGGCGCCAACCGCTTGGAAACGCCACAGAAAATTGTCGCCTTACCAAGTGTACCAAGTTTCTTGAAATCGCCACGCAACACCGCCGTGTGTAAGCGCATAGGCAGCGCCGACCGCTAATCCGCAGCCCGATCACGGGCGGCGCCCCGCAGAAAAACCCATGGGTGGCGCCAACTGTCTGAGACGAGCGTGTGAGTACCGGCAATGCGGGGATTTGGCCATGCCTGAATCACACGGGACGCGTGAATTCATAGGCGGCGGAGAGCTCGCGCCGCGTCCGGAGACTGCGGCACAAACCCATGGGCGGCGCCAACCGTTTGAGACAGGCGTATGAGTGCCGGCAATGCGGGGATTTTGCCATGGCTAAATCACACGGAACGCGTGAATTCATAGGCGGCGGAGAGCTCGTGCCGCGTCCGGAGACTGCGGCACAAACCCATGGGTGGCGCCAACCGTTTGAGACAAGCGTATGAGTGCCGGCAATGCGGGGATTTTGCCATGGCTGAATCACACGGAACGCGTGAATTCATAGGCGGCGGAGAGCTCGTGCCGCATCCGGAGACTGCGGCACAAACCCATGGGCGGCGCCAACCGTTTGAGACAAGCGTATGAGTGCTGGCAATGCAGGGATTTTGCCATGGCTGACTCACACTTTTTGTAATTCAATAGTCTATTCACCTTCTGTTTCATTACGCCTTTGCTTCTCTTGCGTTCTTTTTCTTCATTCTGAACTTTATAGCGGCTCTAGACCTATGAAACTTGTAATGGTTGTTCCACTGAGCTCATCCTCAATTTTTCGTAGCACTTTCTTATTTGTCCTGTCATAACTTGGATGACTTGTATGATAGTCACTAAAATCCATATACTCGCTAAGATCTTTTAGATCTTTGTACACATCATTCAATAACAGTCTTTAACTCACAGATGTTAGTATCTGTAAATACCAGCTTAGTATGGTCATCATGTTTGGGTTTCAGAACATCACAGTAAAGGAATACCTGCTAGTTTTGGAACAATCTAGAACTGTCATACCCGTATAGAGCGGCTTGCTTAACTTTATTGTTTGGCAATCTTTTGCTACGCCGACTAGATTCTCTGTTATAATGCGTCTATGTCTGTAGGTTGGACTATTTGTGCGTCTTTGAAACCGTTCAGGGGCATTCTGTTTAAGTTGTCTCGCCTCTTGCTTCCGTGTCGTAGTAATATTTATGAATATCTTATAGACATTAGATAACATATCTTCGTTTATTGTCATTATCGCCAGTGCCATTGGATAGTCCTTGTGAAGACAATGTATTTCGGGCGGATATTGTAAATCATCTTCTAAACTACAATCTGTGTCATCATATTTGTATTTCATGACTTTCTTCTGATCGTATCTAATCAATTGAAATCTTCATATGGCAACTGTAGGAGGTAAGGACACAGAAGAAGGAGATAGGAACCGAAGAAAGCTGGATGATCTTTATAGTGGTTTATGGATAAGGGATAATGATATGCAGATCAAAGAATGGATAGAGAAGCATGTTAAATACACGAATGATATAATGAGAAGTGAAAATAACCTATACCAATATTAGTTGCCAAGAGGCGGGTAATGAAGTCAGGAAGAGGTTAGGCAAGAAGGGAAAATATGAAGCTGGCGAAGTATTAATATGTAGGCTTTATAGGAATGAAAAGGAAGGACAATTTAATGTGAATATTAGATGGAAGGCTTTAGATGTGAGGGGTGATGAGTTAACCATACAGGACATCAAGAATGAAAGAGATGTCAGAGTTGTAAATGAAAAGGTGGTAGATACACATTTTTTCGAGATGCGTATTGTGCCACTTGTCATTCTCGTCAAGGAACATCAATGGCAACATTACCATTCACGAATGGAACAAAGAATATTTAGTGAGTACAGAGTGTTTATATTGTAGAAAGAATATTTTTTCATCAATGAAAAGGCTGATGATGTGATGTTTATGAATTTAGTTAAAGGATATGTCAGAAATAAATATGAAGGGAATAAGATGCAAGATGAAAAGAAAGCTAGAGAAATTGATGAAGACAGTTATGTTGATGTTAATTAATGCTTAAAACATTTTGGAGGGTGTTGTTGCAGGTGTGGAGTGAATTTTCACTTAGATTCTCAGGGGGGCAAGCTCACTACAAGCTTCACAGCTCAACGACGTGATAACGAAAATGCTCACTCAGTAGATAATATTGAACCTTTCTGTCTTGATTGTAATAGGGCAGTCCATTAGTTAAGATAGTAAAAATATCTTAATCAATTTAATGAGTTCTAAGCAAGATATTATATCAACAGTTTATTTTGATAGAGCGGGTTTTCAATCCAAATCTAACACCTTAAAAGATGCCAGAGAAAAAGATACAGTATAACTATGGCGACGTGGAGCAGTTCTTTAAAGAAAATGTGGAGCAAAAAAGAAAAACCAAGAGGTGAACATAGTTTTGTAGCGCCACACGCATTTTTGAACTCCAATTGGATTTGTTTTTTGGTAAAAACGATTTTGAAAACGAACAAAAATATAGAATCGGATTAGTTTTGATCGATATATTCAGTTCTTATTCCCTTGAACAGCTCCGACAAATCGTCCGGAATGGGGAGGTTCGCCTGCTCGGCCGTGGCTATGCAATCCAGTACCAGCTAAGAGCCGCGTACGGCTGATAACCAGTTGAATCAGGATAAGAACAGCTCGCTGTGTTTCACTTCAATCAATCCCAATCCTGACCCAAGTATGTCGCCACCAAGAGGCAAAGAATACCGCGCGTCGACAAGTAAATGGCGGACGCGGTCCTTTTAACCCTCGGGCAGCTTGAGCCAAATGCGGATGCGTTTGGAGGTTTGGTACCTTTGGAGAACTGAAACACGTGACAACTGCAAAATGTCATGGTTTGCAAAAGGAAAGAACCTCATGAATGGAAGCTTTGCTTAACCATGGGTTCCCGAATATCTGAAACGGTGGACAGACAACATCCACCCTACGCATGACGATTCCTCCTAGCAATGTTCAAGGAGTCCCTTCTCAGCTAAGCATGCCACATGAAGATTACTGACCAAACATGTCCTGGAAGTGGTGGTGCATCATTGGCATCTCACCCTGTCAAACATGCATAATGCTCAGTATTCTTCAACTGTCCATTTTGAAACTCGCGTTCGAAATGAGCTGCGCGCAGGCCCCATCCAGCCGGCCCTGGTGCTATCTATTCCTGGCGTGCCAGGCCAAGTAGACTGGGGCCCCCAGGCAAACCCGAGCTTCAACTCATGTCATGTCTATTCATTTGGCTCACATGGGTCAGTAGATCTGTCCAAATCAGGTTGCTTTTTCCTGGTCTGTAGATGTGTGCCTTCTCGCAAGGATCAACACCTTGGAGTGAAGCGTTTGCTTATTGGTCCCCTGGCACTTTTAGGCGCCCACGAATGCCACCAATGCTAGTGATTGGTGCAATCTTGGGTGGGAATGATGATCACCCCTGTTGCACTTCCAAAAGTTGTGCTTTGAGGCAATCCGATAAACTGTGCGGGCTGGCCTGACAGATTCCAGAAAGTGTACAAGAACAGCACTGTGGCATCAATGGTGCCTTTTTGCCATCATCTTTGGAAATGAATTGGCAGCTCAGGAGGAAACGCACCAGATCAGGAGGCTTGCTGGTGCACAATGACTTTTTGGAGGCTGTACCCAGGCGCGCACACACATACACACACACACACACACACACACACACACACACACGGTTTAGCTCGATAGGTGGTTACTTTTGGTTGTGTTGTCATGCGTTGAATCGCGACAAACCAAATAGACACAATCATTATCAATACCCAGAGTAGCACCTACATGGACTTGCATGCTCAACATCAGGGCTAACACCAAACATAAGCCATCCTCTGACTCAACCCAAAGGTGATGCCAAACCTCAACAGGCCAGGACAGTCTTTCTTTTAGAAACTGGTGGGACGGGGGTCTCCAAGACTTGACCTCTTGAAAAAGACCATGACATCCTTTTGCGCACTCCTTCTCACCGTCTCTCGCCTCTTGTCCGGTTCCATGCTGAGTAAGTCTTTCGTGGAAAGCTTTGCCACTGCACACCAGCTTGAGAATCTTGAGAGACCTGATTAGCACAGGTGCAAGACTCCGTAGAAGTTGCTGGTGATGTAGCGCAACCATTGGGGTTCACTGGCAGCGACAAGGCAAATTATTCCCTGGTCGTGATCGATGGCCCCGGCGTCCATCAGTCGGTGGAAAGTTGCGTTCCAATGCTCCCAGAAGAGTTCAATGCCAGCAAGGTCGCCACCCCAAAACGTGCCGATGATTTCATCGAAATGGTGCGTAAAATCGTAAGATGACAAGTAGTTGCTGATTGTCAACTTGCCAAGTGGGAGAGCCTCGAACTTCGTGCTCATGTCAGCTCCAGCACCTTCGAAGAGCTCTTTTTTGTTACGAAGCTGGTGAAACAGCGTCACTGTGCCCGGCACTGCCAGATTGCAGGCGCAGAAGTGCCGAGTTGCCTTGAGGTTCCCATGACCCGCACCAACATCAATCCACACAAAGTAGCTGTGCCCTGCATCGCTTTGTGAGTTTTGGAAGTAGTTCTCGCGTGCCGCCTGGACTACAAAGTTTGCCTTCTCATTTGTGACCCAAGCATAATGTGGAACGACTTTTCCACTGACACCAGCCTTGAAGAGATGCAGTAAGTGCCAGAAGTATTTTCTTGCAGCGATGGCCTGCATCTGTCCCAGGTGGTGGTGGAAGGCCAGACTGGCAGGTGCACCCCACAGTGCTTGCGCAGCCGTTGGCTTGTCTCCGGCCTCGAGCAGTCGCAGCCTGGTTCGGTTGCTGAGGTTCAGCGCCGTCCGCACGGCCTGCACCACCTCCAGCGCCCAGGCCTCGCCGAAGAAGACGAGGTCGACCTGGCGGTGCAGCTGCGGGGCGAACATGCGGAGGTAGTCGCAGCCCGCGCGGTCGCGGCGCCCGACGTCGATCAGGGCGCTGACGACGGTGAAACGGGGCAGGTCCTCGCTGTCAGAGGACTTGCAGCGGCCCTGTTCGGCCCCATTGTCCGGGAGCCGGCAGTCACAGCGCTGGGCTTTTGCATCCCAGTGCACGGCATCCAGTTCCTTCATAAAGTCTCCCTCCACAAATTCTTGCACCAGCTTGCCAGTGTCACAGCCCTCAGGCTGGTAGCCTGGCTGCAATGCCCGGAATCCAGGGATCCAGCCGTTGTTCCAGGAGGCAAAGGTCAAGAAACTTGGCCAAAAGAACACGAAGAACCAGCAGCTCAAGGTGAAACAAAAGATCATGCTCAAGCATCTCGTGCTCAAGCATTTCCAGGACCTGCCCAAGCAAGCGGCCAGGATGTAGCTGAAGGTGGCAGCAGTTGCGACACCAACAGCTTGGGTTGCGGGCACAACCAAGAATGCCAGCAACATTGGCAAAGCTCGGCTTAGCACAACCTGCCAGCACCCGAAGCTCGGCTTGGAGCTCTTTTCCTCGCGACCCTTTTTCTCATCATCAGTCTCGGGGATCTGCGCTCGCATGTGTATTTCAGCCATAGCCAGCTGCAAAGCTGAAGCATGCAAAACCCACAAGGCCTGTCTTTAGACAAGAACACCTCGCATTGCGCCACGCCCACCCCAAGGCTCCAAAACCCTGACAGCGACGGGCAACAGCCACCCAAGCTCTTGAGGCGAAAGCAGCTGAGCGAGCAGGTGGTCGTCTTGCCCGGACCCTAGAGTACAGCTCCGGACTCTTCTCTCATCTTTTATCGATCAGCCAACGCTCGTCCAAGTCTCACACTGAACATCGAGAGTGAAAGCGAAAGACTGCAGGGTTGCGCGCTGTTCTGCAGCAGGACCCCAGGCATCCAGCTTTGTGCTGCACGCACCATCTGGATCAATCGATCACTTCCGTGAGGGCGTGGAGTTGAGGGTGGGCGACGTCATGATCAAGGATCAAGGATATTGCCGTAGCTGTGCTGGAAGGGTGCCATTGTGAGAGCTCTAGCACATGCTGACCACCCTCTTATCTGCTCAGGTTCCACTAAACACTGCCCACACGGCGGAGCCGTGTTCAAAACTGCTGAGGTTGTCTTTTGACATACATACTGTACACAAAAATGTTTGAGACTGACACATGGAATTGTGGTGCGAGCCTCTGCTTTCCAATGAAATGGAACCCTTGGCCAAACGCATTCAGCGCTGCCAGGGAATGCAAGACAGGTGAGGAGGCAGTCTTGCGAGTAAACAAACACTACAAGCCTATCGAAAGCAATAGCTTTGTACTGACCACATATTCTCCTCCAAAGGCACACCCCAAGTTCTCCTTCTTCTACACAAGTCACGGCCTTGGCAAAGCACTTTGAGTGATACGGCGCGCAACTGCAAGAAGTAGGAGGATGCCTAAAAGTTCAGTTCGTCAAACATCTCCTTGCAGTGAGAGCGGGAAAACGCTTACACAAACTACCCAACAGCAAAGGCTTGAGACTGCAAGGAAAGGCTGCGCGGCACACGCCGCCTCAAGACGCAGCGCCCTTCTGGGTCAGGCCAGGGAATGCAAGAAGATACACGACAACAGCCAGGGCGGCGAGAAATGGCATGACAGGCAGCATGCTATCCTTGGGTGTCATCACCTTCACCACCTCATATGGGGTCCATAGCAACGTGGCAACCTGGAATGAGAGAGGGGTCAAAAGCGCAACCCAGCACAGGCGGCTCTTGAGACAGACCCGACTCAAGTAGTTGCCGAGCCGGAAGAGGTGCATGGATACGCGCGTGGTACCGACAGCAGCAAGTCCCACGATCATCCATGACATCGAGCTCCGCAGCACAAGGGCCACAAGCTTGTAGCCCACAATGCCGTTGTGGACGTGACCCGCCCAGGCAGGAAAGAGTCTGGACAAGAAAGGCAAATTGCATGCGCCCACCATGTAAAGCGTGTACCGAGCGGGTAGCACGCCTCCAGCAGTGCCTGCTGCGACTCGAGGCGCCAGGTTGGACCGAACCGTGCTGTTGAAGAAGTCAAGGTGGTCTTGCTCAGGCTGGGGGTACCAGCCTTTCAGAGAACGGAATACTAGCTCTCTGTCGCAAGGCAGCTCCTCGCCCGTGTTCGGGTGCTTGTGGTTGTTTGTGCAGCAAAAGCACTGGCAGTCTTGAACCCTAAACTCGGCCAGTTGCCGGGGAAGCTCTTCTACCTCGGCAATGAGCCCCAAGCCGACGTAGAAGACAACTGGAACGATGGCTGTCCCGAAGAGCATCATCAAAGTTACCACGGTGATCACGTTCTCGGTGTGATTCGGCTGGGCCTCCTGCAAGGGTGAGGGAACTAGAAGCCAAATGCATGTACAGGCAGACTAGAAGCTCCCCCAGACTGGTCCTGCTCGGCCTGCGCTGCGATTGCGGATTCCATCATGTTGTAGCCCACGGACATGATCGACCAGGCTAAGCCTTCCGCAGCCAAGATGATCGTGGTCTTCAGAGGCACGATTTCGATGCTGTCATGGTATTTAGGATCTTTCATGAAAGTAGCCATCTCCAGGGCACCTCACAATCTCGAGAGACAAGTGTTGACGTCAAACGGGCAGCTCACAGCTGTTCGCTGCGCTGTTCGCTGCGCTGTTCAATGTCAAACCCAAAACCGTGCATTCTTTAACGTTCACAAATCTCGAACATTGAACCCTAAACCCTTTGCTTGCAAAGGAAAAAGAGCCATGGCACACCAAAGGCGGCTACAGTAGCGAGGCGTCCAAAGGACAAGCAGCTTCTTGGACTTGAGAAGAAAAGTTGGCAATCCAAGAATGCCTTTGCTTTTCAACTCCTCGTCGTGTTGGGCAATGCAGAGCTTGTCTAAGAACACCATCAGCGGACGAGCAAACAGCACGGATTCGCTGGTAGAAGGCGAACACCACGAAGAATGTCAAATGGCCGAGCGCTGCAGTCCACAACTCATTGGGTAGGACTTCACAGGCGCGACCGAGACCCACCGCAAGGCTGACGAACAGGCATGCCCAAAAGGCTGGGCCCGAGTTGAACACCATAAGCAGCGTGAAGAGCTTCAACCAGCGGCTTGATGCCCACTCATGGCTGAGAAAGGCGTCATAGGCCTCAACTACTTGGCTGAGCTCGTAGTTGGCTGGGTCCACGTTGAACATCCCGCTGTCTGGCGCCACCCAATGCCGACCCCAGCCAGACAGAGACACCTGGAGCGGCACGCCTTTGACGAGATTCGGCTCCAAATCTACGATCAGGTCGCTCTCGGGTGAGTTGACGATGTTGTTAATGTCCTCCGAGCTGCGTTCGGAAAGGCTCGCGGAACCTTCCTCTAGGCAAGTGTCGACACACTGGCCTGGCATGGTGCGTTCAAACACGCGAACGGCGCCAACTACGCGGCGGTTCACAAAATTCCTAACAGGCTTGAGCGCGCCGAGTTCAGGAACTCAATGTTGTACTTTGCAGCGCAATGCACTCACGTGCCTCCAGTGCCGAAACATTCAGAAACAGGCGCTGGTCTCAACACATGCAGAACCCACTAATCAACATGTCATCGAGTTTCCGCCTTGATGTCATGTAGAGCTCCGCAGCAGGACAACATGACCGGCCACGGCTCGCGGCTCGCACTTTGGCTGTCCTCTTCATGCGCATCCCTCGAGATATCCTCTGTGTGGCGATTGCCAACTAAGGATGAAAGCATGTAAATTAACATCTGCATGAAATCAACCCCGTTCTGCCTGAACCACAGGCACTGCACATCATGCTCTAACGCAGCCAGAAAACTCACTGGCACATGTCTGCAACACCAGGTACCTGATGGTAGAAACTCCGAGCATTCTGAACTTTTGGGCTTTCAATGCTTGGATTAGCATGCGGCATCTCTCATCGCATACAAAGGTGCCCTGGCCTGCAACATGTTGAGCAGCTCTGCATGATTTGCAGTCTGCACCCGGGATTTTCGCTCTGCTGAAGCACCACTGTCGATTGTACGCAATTTGTGAAATTGAATTTGTTGGTGACTCGGCCCACTCCCGGAAAACAAGGTATGTTCATAGTTGTTGATGCCAGGAGCATGGCCGAAAGACGGTTCTGAGATCCACTTGTCAGGGCGGGGCAAAATCCACAAAGCATGTCAGCAGTTGGTCGGAGCGCCAGAAATGGCACAAACTGTTGGCATGGTGTGGAAAAGTTGCAGAACTAACGCAATGTAGACTCTGGGCATCAGGGCAGCCACAGTCACAGGAGGATGTATAAGACGCAGCAAAATAATGCTTTGGCAGAATAGGCTTGTCAATAACAAGTGTCGGAGAAGAAAGCCGAAGTTCCAGGGTTTTACCATGCACTATGGTTTCCCCTATATATGGTTTTGCTGCCATTGACAGATATGGCTGCAAGCAAGCCTGAATGTGCTGATCCCCATCTCCTGCCCCTGTTTTCCAGCCGGTCATCTCTTCGAGACTAAGCTTCTCAACTATTCACTCCTTTCCTTCTTTGTACCTATTGAGCATTTCAGCGAATGAGGAAGCCTTCTTCAATTCCGTGAGGTCACTTTGCCATCAGCGCTGCCCGCCGGCGGCGACTCTCCTGAGCGTCGCGCGTGCTGTCAAACACACTCGTGCATTCGCGCTTCACCGAACGATTGGACGTTTCGTCAAAGCGCTCTTGTTCAGCGCAGCTTCCCAATTGGAATTTCAAGTCTTGTTTCACAGCAGGTGCCTAAACAGGTCAAGAATGCATGCAAATGCCTCATCGCGTGGAATTCAGCTGACGCAGTTCCAAGCGTGCGCGCGCTTGTCTCTGGATCATGTTGTGGAAGCCACCCCCGTGGCACAAACAAGGGTTGCGTGCGTCGGCGGTGCGACATTACCAACCTCATGAAACCTGAATCCCCAAACCCCGGAATAGCTCCATTCCCGTCAGGGACCGATTTGGCCAAAAGTGACTGATTTGCTAAGGTGGGATGTCAAAGCGCCTCCTGACACAAAGCAGAAGTCTTTGGATTGTGTGTAAAAAATGCGAGTCCTCCAGCCGCTGCGCAACAGTCTCATCATCGTCATCATCCTCAACAGCTGCCGACGAAATTGCCCGTTAGAATGTGATAGGAAGATATCTGCCAACTATCTGCCATTCTGCACTATTCCTCACTTTATGCGCAGTCGCAAAGTTCAACAACTTGTGGGGCAAACTCTGTGTCCGCCGAGAATCTGGTGGCATGTGGGTTGCACGCACCAAACAGGCAACAAGCAGCAGGCAGCAAGCGACAAATGCGAAGCAACCAAGAACAAACAACGAAAAACAAACAGCAAACAACAACGAAACAACTCACAACTAATCACGGCTTGAGACCTGGCACCCAACAACAATTCAATTAGCACGCAACAAACAAACAAACAAACGAACAAATAAACAAGCAAAACAAACAGACAGACAGACAGACAGACAAACAAACAAACAAACAAACCAACAAACCAACCAACCAACAAACAAACAAACAGACGAACACAACAAACAAACAAACAAACAATCGAACAAACAAACAAACAAACACAACAAACAAACAAACAAACAAACAAACAAACAAACAAACGAACGAACGAACGAACGAACCGAACAAACGAACACAACAAACAAACAAACAAACAAACAAACAAACAAACAAACAAACAAACAAACAAACAAACAAACAAACAAACAAACAAACACACAAACAAACACACGAACAAACAAACAAGCAAGCAAACGCACAAACTATCAAGCAAGCAAACACACAAACAAACACACAAAGACACAAACACACAAACCAACACACAAGCAAACAAACAGACAAAACCACACACACACAAACAAACAAGCAAACACCAAAACCAATCAAAGAAACACATAACGAAAGAACCAATTCAAGAAAAGGCCAAAAACAAAAGCAAAAGCACGCAAGCAAGCAAGCAGGCAAGCAAAAACTCATGCACCCCATAATCCGAAATCCGTAAAGCGCACAGTCCATTCCGAAAAAGCGCAAACTCCGCACTCCGCTAATCATTGAGGATTATGCCTTGAACAAGCCAGTTAAGAACAACAACAAGAGCAACAATAACCGCAACCACAATCACGAAGATGATGATGGCGACGACGAGGAGGACAATGACAAGGACGACGACAACGCCAACTCCAGGCCAGGTTAGCATTTAAACCTGCAGTAACAATGCCGGGGGCCCTAATGCGGCCGTAGCCGGAGGCTCCGAAGTAGTACTGGTTGCAACTGCCATTATGGCGTTGGCAAGTTGAGATACGCACATGCTGCAATATCTTTCGTTTCTTCTTTGCATCATCCTTCGGATGGAGTCGATGCAATGTGCCCGCTTGCGCTGCAAGAACCACGTTGCATGCTGCACTCCGACCTGTGATCCAGCTTCGCCGGCGCCTGGCAAATTGCATTCGGGCATTCGGAAACACAACATGCTTGCTCGACTTGGTAAGTTTATTGCACCGTCAAGTCATCAAGCCTGCTGGATCTGGCGGCGACTGGGTTGCCGCCTTACACAAATTGTGGCCAACACGATTGCTGATCAAAGCAGCCAGCTTCCCTTCTGCAAACCCCCCTGCCTTGTCAGCAATCTCTTTGCTCTCTTTGCCATCTCTCTCTTTGATCTCCTTGCCATCTTTGCTTTCCTTGTCTCTTTCTTTGTGCTCCTTTTCGCGTGGTGGACTTCTCCTTGGGCTTTTCTTCGGGCTTCTTTTTGGACTTCTCTTCAGACTTTTCCTCGGGCTTCTCTTCGGACTCTTCCGTGGACTTCTCTTTTGACTTCTTGGGCTACGGCCTTAATGCACGCGAGCGCGACATTGGCGTGGCAGAACTCAGCTGCGCACTGCGAGCCCTTGTTGAAGTCCTTGGGCTCGGCAAAGCGAGATGAATGAACCAGAACCCGACATCTAAACAATCTGAACAATCTGAACAATGGCAACACTTCCAACAAACACACACTCGAAATGCTCAGGGGCTGACTCTTTTCTTTTTGAGTCCTTCTTTGGAGCCTCTGCCTTTTTCTCACCAGCCTGCACGTACACTTTGCGAGTCATTGCAAGAAGGAGAAGCTTAGCATCAAAGCCTGAGCTCGGTGTGTATCATCTGTGCCTTAGACAAAGGAATGAGAGCACCAGAGCCCAGGCAGTGGGACTGGGGCGTGGGCTCAGGAATGCCTGGCCTTGAGCAGATGCAGCTTGTTCCTCCAGACAACTGCAACAAATAACAAAGCTTCAGAAAGTAACATGGATGCCTCTTCTGCAGGCTTTCTGTGCAAATTCTCCGAGGTCAAAGCATACCTTGGGCTGTCAGGAAATCATCACAATGCTGTTATGGGCCAATGAGTTTTTTGTAGGTGTCTGACCAGCCACGACGTTCGTCCCTCTCAGAGTTGGGTCCCTTGGGCATGGAGAACTTCCCAGCAGCATCCTGTCAGATCGCAAATGCTGCCATACGGCTCACCAAGGCTGCCCCGATAGGCTGACACGGCATGTTGAACTCCCAACATGGCGAGCCACTTACGTTGACACGGCATTCGCTGCATAGCGTAAGGACCCCATCCGGTGACGAGGACAGGTCCTGGAGCCACTTCTTTGAGAAGCACCGCCGTCGGTCCCAGGATTGAAGAATCTGGCAGCGGGCTTTGAGGATTCCATTTGCAGTTGTCTATTTTTGCCGTCTGCTGAAATTGTAGCTAGCCAACATGATTCATGGCTTGAGAGCTGCGCACGCCTTAAGCCATGAGTGCCACATTATCTTTCGCGCAAACAGCCGCATCACGGAAAACATAATCTATATTACCATTCCTGCTCACGAGGTCAGACTACCCGTCACGCAAGTGCCCTGAATGACTGAATGTCCACCGTTAGTTGTTGCTTTGAGAATGACAAGGTTACGCCACAACTGGCAAACTCATTAAAATAAATGTTGATTGGATTACCATTCGCTTTAAAAGACATTATCCCAAGCTGCCACAAACAACAAGTGCCTCCAAGCAGATTATCTGATGATTTCTCGGGGATTCCCTGAAGTTGTTCTTCATCCAGAACTTGCCATCCGCCACGTTCATTCGTGGGCGCTTATGTGTTTGGTAAACCCTACCTACATACATAACACCCAGTCCAGGAGCCCTGCCACTGACATGCCAATGTGGCACCTGCCTCTTTCAGATAGATGAAAGCAGCAAACAATGCATTGCACTCAGCTACAACCAGATGTTCAGTGATTTTTTCTGCAGGCTACACCATGCTACACACATGCGCCTCCCCCAAGAAGGCACAGGCTCCACGATCTCGATCATCAATGTTCTTAGCTGTGGCTGGCTTCCCGAGAATTCACGTTGTACCAATCCAAAGGCATCCCTCGACCGCATCCAAGCTCTTAAAGATTGGGAGGAAAAGAGTCTATGCTGATGTCTACCGCCAAGCAGATTCACTGTTTTGCCCGGGGCCCTCTTATTCTTCATACACTATACATGTGTGGTTGTAGCGCGCAGGAACCACCAATAAGGTTGGCACAGCGGATTCACGATCACATGCACTTTTGTTGGCTGGTGCCGTCTTACTCTTCATACACGATACATGCGGGGTTGTAGCAGGAAGGAAACACTAAGATGTGGAGGGCTATGTGAGGATATTGTCTACAAAGAAGGTGCTCTAAGAAGCTTGGAAGCCAAAAAGCCAAGAAGCCAAAGAAACAGGAACCTGGGAGCCAAGAAGCAACCAAACTAAACATGCAAAAAGCAGCTGGGGTGATACTGGTGATGCGGAAAGCCAAAGCCGCAAAATCCGCAAAAAAGAAACACAAAAACTCGCCAAAATCCACAAAGGCCAAAAAGCCAGCCTAGAGAAAAACAAGAACCCATCCCAAGAAGCCAAAAAATAATTACCTGGAAGCTTTATTTATTCTGTTAGGGGGGGAGTGCGCCCCCCAAAACCCCAACCCCCCCACCCGCGCTTCTTTATAGGGCAGTTGTTCAGCTTTGCGATGACTTCAAAGGCGAACTCCTGAAGGAACCCTCGGTTCGGGCTCCAAACACCCTAAACCACCACTGGTTGACCTCGTCAAAACCACAGCAGAACCAATGCAGACCGCACCTGCCAGTCCAAGACAGAAAATCCAGAAACAAAAAACAAAACGGTAAAGCAAATCCGTTCCCCTAAGATATGCACAGCGGATGCACGACGGCGATCACTAATTCACTTGTACTGGCTGCATTAATTAAGACATGCACAGCGGATTCACGATCACAGATTCACTTGTTGAAATAGCCGTCTTCTTCATACTTTGCAAGCGTGCTTGTAGCGGGAAGGCATCACAAAGATATGCACTGATTTGATTTCTGGTGTTGGCAGTAAATCCAGGAACCCTCCCAGTTGTTGGGTCCAACGGCCCTTCTCAAAGGCGTCCCAAAGGGGTCCGTGTGGGTTTCAGAGCGGACTGACAAGGCACGTCGAAAATGATCCCGAAAAGTGTCCTGGCAAGGACTCCGCAAGCACATGCTTGTTGAAAGACTGGTATCGCGCCGATAAGAACAAGCAAAACAATCCGTCAAGGTCCTTGGCAGTTGTCCCACAAGCCCCATAGAGTCAAGGCCGGCCTCAGTGACTATAAGGCCCTTGGAAACACGCCCTATAACTCTTACATCTAGCCATTGATCTGATGACACTCTGCCACAAGGGCTGCGTTGCACTGTGTCTTCATGGCCTGCGGTCCAAGTCCTTGAGAAGCGATTGCATCCACCAAACACCTCGCGCAGGCTGGCCACAACCCAAGCTGCACATGCATGCTGATTCCTTCAACGTAAGCTTCCAACGCCAAGGCAAGTCTTGCTCTGCGCTGAATGGCACTTCTGAGCGCAGGTGCAGCATCCTCACATTCAGACAGTTGTGATGCCGCCATGCATCTCAAGTGTCCTCAGGAAGGTTCTCGGAGGAAAGTTCCTGGGCGAATCTCGAAATTGCGCGGCGCAACGCCAAGCGCAGAACGCCAGGCCTGCAGTCGCCGCAACACATCCGGCTGTCGAAGTGGTCCCGAGCGGACTGCACCTCGAGCCGCTCGGGCAACATGTCCCTGGATGGACCTGGCGAATGGACACAGTGCCAACCGGAGTGTCAGCTAGCTGTCGCAGCTGAACTGGCCTGGGCTCAAACGCAGGATCACGTGTGCCATTGACGATGACGTCCAAAGAACTTGAGAATTCCTTGACAAGTGTCTGAGTTATCGGTGAGCAAGTTGGTCGTGTCGCATGTTCACGAATGAAAAGGTCGCTCTGTCCTCCCAACCTGCCCACTCAACGAGGCCTCAGTGAGCAGTTGGTTCATCACATCTCCACCCACATCAATCAACGCACAGCAGAGGAAACGGAATGGGGGCCACAAAAGCAGCGGCAACACCATCAAGCACAACACGTCAGCGGCAACGCAAAAGCACAAGTAAGAACAATGCAAAGTGTTGCGCAAACTTGTGAATGTGCAGCAATCACCGCGACTCTGACAAGGTAGGCTTTACATGGCTGACCGGAGGAACCTGTCAAACAGCGGCGGAGAACTTCTGCGAACCTTTACAGATTGGCTGGTCCTGTCCTCCATATTTAAAATGTTGATTAAATGGATCGGGTGGGCTGCTTGTGTGTGTGCGTGTCGTTCTTCCTGCAACCACAATGTTGAGCGCCCGGCCCACTGCTCTGGCATCCTCTGTCAGCATGAAGATGCCCGCTGGTGTCTTGGTCACAGTTTGACTTGACGACTTCAAAGAGCATGCAATTCATTCGGCATGCAATACAAATATGCAACACAGTGCAAAAACATATATATATATATATAACATATGCAACTATAGGCGCAACATGTTGCAAAGATGTCAAACATGGGCTCCGTTTAGCTGATCCATCCGCGCCTCGTTGACCACTGTCCAGGCCTTCATCGCCACCTCGAAGTCCTCGCCTGTGATCCCCACGGCCCTGCCAAGCACCGGGAGGGGCAAGTACCTGGCGAAACATCGACACACGCCGTTTGCTTCTCCTCAGAAACAAGGAAGCCACGCAGGCAACACAGGCAACACAGGCAACGCAGGTGTTCTGTGGAATGCAAAGGCGCACCGGTTACCCTCTTTGCCCTCGATGATCCTTAGGTCCGTGGTTCTCAAGAGAGTGACTATGAGCATCTATGGCTTGTCAGATTCTCGCCGATTCTCCAAGGTCCAAACCCCAAGCCAGCGGCTGCATCACTTGCCTTCGGAGCGAGCTCGAAGAACCTGCCGCAAGGGCCGCAAGGGCCGCAAGGGCCGCGATTTTGACATTTGGACGCTTTGCCTCCCTCCCCCGCCTGAGCAGTGCATTGCGGAGCTTCTCCGCCGAAGTCGGAGCATTGGGCTCCGGTGCTTCAGGTCCTGCACCAGGTGTGCGCTCCAAATAGGCTGCGTGAAGTCTTTATTGGTTCTGTCTGGTTCTAAGCTTGTCCAATAAGAGAGAGAGAGAGAGGGGCCAATCATGTCGTTAGTAATACGTGTTGTGTCTTGAGATTCATAAAATTTGACGCAGAGATGCAACTGTCAGTCAGTTCAAGGGTGGTATTGATGCCATCACTAAACCTGGACTTGGTGACTTGCCTGAAGATGCTTGAAGGAAGGACACGACAGCTACAGGCAATGGAGCATTGCCTGTCCTGGAGGAGGAGCAGGGGCGGGCTCTGGAGGTGGGGGCTGCTCAGGCCTGAACATGTCGATTCATTGAATGCGCATCTAATGTGCATCTTGCTGCTCTTGCTGCCCCCTTCAACCCACATGGCTGCATCAGAAAGGTCAAGAGCTCACTAGTAAATCACTTTTGGGCTGCCTGAGACGCACAAACCCATTTGCAATCAGGCCGGGGAGGCTTCTTGGGTGCATTCACCTGCCAACCACAAGCTCGGATGACACCAGTGAGCTGACAGTACAGGAGGTACTGCTGCTAGGGTGAAGCCACAGCGCAAACAGGCAAACAGGACTGGAAGACCGAGAGCCACTGGGTGATCATGTCTCTGACATTTGGAGCGAGAGCAACCCCTTGCTGGTCTGCCTCACTCGTGGAAGTGGCGTGGTGTCCCATAACAATGCTGCATGTGGGAGCCTCTCGCACAGCCGCCAGAACCTCTGCATGATTGCCAGCCTGGAAGCGTCACCATTGATCTCAAGCAGGCGTGTTGACATGGACATGGGTGTCTTCCTCTGAAATGCTTATCAAAACCGAAGGTGTTCGGCGCCTGTTTTTTGGACTCAACTCTGATTGGGGTGCAAAATCCAGCGTTCCCTTTGGTTCTCTTTCTTGTGGTGTAATAAAGCCTGCATTTCACGTATGCCCCATTTGCCGACTGCTGAATTCTTTGCTGGATACTCGCCACCGGTGCTTTGGCGTAGCCCCTTGTTCCTCTTGGCTCTTCTGGATGTCAGTTGGGTTGGAAATACGTGGACAGCCCTTGTAGCCTAAAATCCCCAGTTTTCCTCTGCATCGGTTTGCAGTGTTTTTGCAGCTCCAGCTTGAGAGTCGCGACTTTTCAGTACAAATGTAGTACACAAAAATACTTTGGCAGGTCTAGCTCCAAAGTCGCAACTTGACAAGTGTCATAGTGCAGTATACAAAGTACAGTTTGGCAGCTCCGGCTGCAAAATCCCAACCTTTCAGTACAAATGTAGTACACAAAGTATACTTTGGCAGGTCTAGCTCCAAAGTCGCAACTTTACAAGTGTCATAGTGCAATATACAAAGTACAGTTTGGCAGCTCCGGCTGGAAAATCGCAACTTTTCAGTACAAATGTAGTACACGAAGTATACTTTGGCAGGTCTAGCTCCAAAGTAGCTCCGGCTAGAAAATCGCAACTTTTCAGTACAAATGTATACTTTGGCAGGTCTAGCCCCAAAGTCGCAACCTTACAAGTGTCATAGTGCAGTATACAAAGTACAGTTTGGCAGCTCCGGTTGGGAAATCGCAACTTTTCAGTACAACTGTAGCGCACGAAGTACACTTTGGCAGGTCTAGCTCCCAAGTCGCAACTTTACAAGTGTCATAGCGCAGTATACAAAGTACAGTTTGGCAGCACCGGCTGGGAAATCGCAACTTTTCAGTACAAATGTAGTACACGAAGTATACTTTGGCAGGTCTTGCTCCAAAGTCGCAACTTGACAAGTGTCATAGTGCAGGTGCAGTATGCAACGTGCAGTTTGGCAGCTCCTGTTGGAAAATCGCAACTTTTCAGTACAAAGGTAGTACACGAAGTACGCTTTGGCAGGTCTAGCTCCAAAGTCGCAACTTTATAAGAGTCATAGTGCAGGATACAAAATCGCAACTTTTCAGCAGTGTAATGTAAGAAGTACACTTTGGCAGGTCTAGCTCCAAAGTCGCAACTGTACATGTGTCATAGTCATATAAAATACAGTTTGGCAGCTCCGGCTGCAAAATCGCAACTTTTCAGTACAAATGTAGTACACGAAGTATACTTTGGCAGATCTAGCTCCAAAGTCGCATTTTTACAAGTGTCATATTGCAGTATACAAAGTACAGTTTGGCAGCTCCGGCTGGGAAATCGCAACTTTTCAGTAGAAATGTAGTACACGAAGTACACTTTGGCAGGTCTAGCTCCAAAGTCGCAACTTTACAAGTGTCATAGTGCAGTATACAAAGAACAGTTTGGCAGCTCCGGCTGGGAAATCGAAAACTCTTCAGTACAAATGCAATACACAAAGTACACTTTGGCAGGTCTAGCTCCAAAGTCGCAACTTTACAAGTGTCAGTGCGGTATACAAAGTACAGTTTGGCAGCTCCGGTTGGGAAATCGCAACTTTTCAGTACAAATGTAGCGCACGAAGTACACTTTGGCAGGTCTAGCTCCAAAGTCGCAACTTTACAAGTGTCATATTGCAGTATACAAAGTACAGTTTGGCAGCTCCGGCTGGGAAATCGCAACTTTTCAGTACAAATGTAGTACACGAAGTACACGTTGGCAGGTCTAGCTCAAAAGTCTTAACTTTACAAGTGTCACAGTGCAGTATACAAAGTACAGTTTGGCAGCTCTGGCTGGGGAATCGCAACTCTTCAGCACAAATGCAATACACGAAGTACACTTTGGCAGTATGCAAAGTACAGTTTGGCAGCTCCGGTTGGGAAATCGCAACTTTTCAGTACAAATGTAGTACACGAAGTACACTTTGGCAGGTCTAGCTCCAAAGTCGCAACTTTACAAGTGTCATAGTGCAGTATACAAAGTACAGTTTGGCAGCTCCGGCTGGGAAATCGAAAACTCTTCAGTACAAATGCAGTACACGAAGTACACTTTGGCAGGTCTAGCTCCAAAGTCGCAACTTTACAAGTGTCATAGTGCAGTATACAAAGTACAGTTTGGCAGCTCCGGCTGGGAAATCGAAAACTCTTCAGTACAAATGCAGTACACGAAGTACACTTTGGCAGGTCTAGCTCCAAAGTCGCAACTTTACAAGTGTCATAGTGCAGTATACAAAGTACAGTTTGGCAGCTCCGGCTGGGAAATCGAAAACTCTTCAGTACAAATGCAGTACACGAAGTACACTTTGGCAGGTCTAGCCCCAAAGTCGCAACTTTACAAGTGTCATAGTGCAGTATACAAAGTACAGCTTTGGGAAATCGCAGTACAAATGTAGCGCACGGCTTTGGGAAATCGCAACTTTTCAGTACAAATCGTCAGTACAAATGTAGCACGAAGCAAATTGATGTTTTCGCAATGTTGGTTTGCGACAACACCTTGGACCTGATACGTGTCTTCATGGCTTTTCCGGGTATCGTGTTTTGCCTCAGCATCGGTTTACAGTGTTCCGGGCCTGCAATGAAAGTTACGGGATGGGCCCTTACATAACGAGAAGGCGCGATTTTTTTTACTTGTCCTTGTCAAGGAATCTCCATGGATCTCGAGAAGATTGCTCTGTTTCCTCAACACGCCTACTGTCTCTCAAGTAGAGCGTTTGTGTGCAGGAGACGTTAGCAGTGCCCTTGTGCTGCTCGTGGCGGGTTCCAACTTTGGATGTTTGTGGCCTTTGTGGCCTTTGGGCTGGCGTCTGGCGTCGCTATCGGACGCCTCAATGCCAGCCCTGATCTTCAGAAGTGGCGACGGTGCCGCGGACTGCGCTGCCTGGAAACGGAGCAAACGGAGCACACACTAATTACATTTGATGAGCATTTTAGGAACAATTTTAGCAAATTCTGAGGCCTGTGCCGCTGGGCCTGGCTCAGTGCGCCATCGTTTGGTCTTTCTGCTTGCGCAACTCATGGCAGTGTCACTGCCAGGCTGAAACGACGCACCGTTGCATCCACAGCCACTGCAGCCTGGACTCAACATAATATCTGTTGCCACTGAACGTCCGAGTCCGCGGCCCGAGTTGCCGAACCCCTGCCATGGTTCAGGTTCATAGGATGCAATTGCGGTGACTGGCGTTTGCAAATCCAGCCTGAAACTGCATGCCGCAGCCGGGAGTTGGGCTTGTAAGTGCTTGCTCAGTGCGCTTGAGCGGATCGTTGCAAGCCAACATGCTGTCAGTGAGTGTGGTGAGGGCTTTATTTGAACATCAATGATGCCTTGTACCCTGTCTCACTGGTTCCAACATGCTCTTCAAAGTGCTCCTGGGCAGTTAGTCATTCATAAGTCATGCACTTGCTGCAGGCTCCCATCCTGCAAAAGCTTGTGCCAAAGCGCGTCGGTCAGGTGCGTTCTACTGCAAGGGCTAGCATTGCCTGAAGCTTAGCATAGCTTTCAGATGCCCATCAGGCGGTGCAAATTGTAGGATGCCAATCCCTTTAGCGTTTGCGACCTTCTTTGCACATTGCTACACTACTGCGCCAACAAACTGGTTGCTTGTGTACACTGGCTGCGCAGTCCGGCAAACTACACATTGTGCACTTTTGGCTGGGCTTCAAAGCCAAGACCAAGGCCGCGCCCCATTCCTGGAAGCGAATCTTTGACTTCTATGCAATTGAATTAAGGTGACCATTTGGTCTCCTGACTCCTGACTACAAATGTGGCTGACTCAGCTTGCTCCAATTGCTCCAAGCCAACTGTTTCTCAGCCGCCTTGATATCCAGTGGCTCAACTCAAGTCGGCAATCAATGAATCGATGCAGCTGAAATGCTGCTGCTGCTCGAGGTGTTTTGTTCTGAACTGCACGGCCGCTTCTTGCCGCGCCTGTAGCTTTCGAGCCTGGCATCAAGTCAAAAACAAAAACACTTATCCGACAGGTTGTACTGCGAGGAGCAAGCCTTTACATGGGCGATTCGGCAGTCGCAAATCCATCCTGGCATAGCTTGACCGTTCGCTCAGCTGGCCACAGGCAGAACTGAGTTGTCGTTATCTAAGCAACTACCAAAACCTAGTACATCACCGAAAGGTCACTCCAATGAAGGCATCGTGCTTTAGTGTCACCCCTATCGTAGGCTGACTGGTGTTCGAATATCTCAGTCAATGCAGCTCTCTTCATTTTGTTTGCGGGCGTTCATCCGGCATGCAGATGATGGATGCAAATGTTGGCCAGTTCCTGCTCCCCACTGACAGCTTTACCTCTGGTATGGACACCTGGGCCCCCACTCGGCAGTGCGACGCGAGCTCACAAAAACATGCTTGTGGAGCCGACGGTGAATGAAATCAGCAAAGTGGCATCTTGTTCAAACCACGAGCCAGGCACACCCATAATGACATTGCTGAAAAGGATAAAAATGCAAATGCCTATGATCGGATATTCCTCGGACAGTATCTGGAACAGTGCAACAGCGATTTTGGCACCTGCACGCAAGTCCCAGGCGACAATTTGCCAGAACAAGACAGCAAAATATTAAGGCCCATTCATGAGTCACAAGGAAACTTCGCACGTTGCAGACTCCCTCCACACATCGCAGTCCAACCTGGGCAGCAGATGCGCAAGGCAGCAAGTGACAAATCATGCTGAGATTGAAACCCCGCCCTCGCCAAAAAACCTGTCCTGGCTTGCGCACGCCGCATGCTCAGCTCAAGCGTGCTCACACGTTCAAAGTCTTGCCGGATTGACCAGGAAGTACAACAAATTGGAGCCACTCCACGCGCGTGGCCACGGTTGGTGAACGTTATCAAGGAATGCAGTGCTTTGGCCTCATGTTGACGTGCAGAACTTCACTAGCAGAATGGATGGCGCAAGTTTCTTGCGTTGTTAAATCAGGACACTTTGGCATGCAGTAGCAACAAATCCACAGACATGCGCTTTTCAGATATGGCATTCTGACAGTCTTAACACATCGCTGAGTCTCTCAAAAAGTGTGGTTACCACGCGCAAAACTTGAGTACCAGGCAAAGGACGTTCACTTGCTCAAGGCTGGGGCGACATGGCACACCTGCAAGCCATTGCACTAGGCTCTAGTCGAAGTGAGCATCGAGCAAAGTGACGTGCATGTGGCGCCTTGAAGCCCAGTGCCTTGTGTTTCAGCCTCGAGACGAGTGCAGATGTAAAGATCTGAAGTCCCAAAGTGCCTGCCTCGCACTCTTGACCAATCATCTCCATGTTGTGGATGCTGATGGGAAACCTGGTCATTTTGGTGGCATTGTTGAGGACGGCCATCGTCAGCCAGCTGAAGCGCATGTAGCAGGACCCGACCTAACACCATCCATGTAGCTCATCGTTAAAAACTGACATGTGTCTGCACTGGTAGCTGAAATCGACATCTGGGCACTAGGAGCAAACAACAGGAACAGCAAGTGCAAACAAGAGATGTGGCTGAAACCAAGTTTGACATACTTGCTTGCCGTTGTGCTTATTGTTCTCGTCAGGTCTGATTGCCAAAACAGTGGTTCCAAGACAAGGTGGATCCTGCTAAGCATGTGAGTTGCGTAGGTCTACTATGATGCTTGGGCTGTGCTCAGGACTCGGATTCCAAGCAAATTGTTCTATGCAATCATCCAATAGATGGCTCCTTGTTAATATGCACGAACTGTTCGCACCGCGATTACGATTCACCTGAGACCTGTTTCTACTCAGCTTGGGACCATTTCTCATCATTTCTCTAGTCAAGCCGGAAGCCGGCTTCAGGTCAATGATGGTGATATTTAACTTGATCCAATTCGCTAAGCCCAGCGCGTAAGAGCGAATCACAAAATAGAGCAGAACAACAGATATGGTGCCGCAGCAGCACGTATGCCAGCACCAGGTAGCCTGGGTGATCATTCTGGAGTCGTGCCAGACTTCATAAACCCGCAGGTACAACAGTAGGTATTTGGAGCAAGTATCATCAATTTCGAAGCGAGCGTGTCAATCGCCAAAGACTATGAGCAGCTCAAGAACACATCCAATCGCCCGTTTCAGTGCTCTTGAACGTCCCAAGACAGGGAGCCCTTGGCACACTCCGCGTCGCTCAGGACCGCACATTGCTCCGCATGGTCCTGAGCTCTGACAAATCCTCCTCGAAGGGCTCTTCGATGGCATGGCCTGAAAATCGACCGTCCGCACGCGGAGAATGGACTGAATGGACATCAAATGACATCAACATGTTCGGGGCGTGGAGAGTTTGGAGAGGACGACTCTCCGAATCGATTCCATGATTTGTACTTGGGCGCGTGTGCGCCGGGTCGACGTGAATATGGACAAGTTGGGCTCTTACATCTCTGAATATCCCTCCATACAGGTGTTTGTTGCTTGCCGGCCTCGCAGGGTAAGTGACTCTCAAAAACTCGCGTGAAATTGAAAGCCTCCAGCATCCAGCAAGTAGTACGTGTGCTTATACTGAGCAATGGTGTGGTCTCTTGGCCTGGCGAGCCACGCGAATGGGTTGTGCTCCTTGAGGCAAGAGACAAACCCAGTTCTGCTCACGGCAGCGGCGAAGAAAAAACCTGTGTTGGCCAAGGCATGTAATACACATGCGAAGACTGATTGGCAGAGACGAAGTAGACTAGTACTTGTTTTGTAGAGAAACATGTTTTTGGACACATGATTATGGTCAAGCAGCCAGTGCACTACACGCGCAAAACTTGAGTTACCCCCGTCCCGGTGCGGCGGAAACAGGATGAACTGTTTGAAGTTTGGCTGATCTTCAGATTTGCGCAGTCCGGTTTTGATGTTCACACTTGCATCGTTGACAATTCACACATCGTGTCTGAACCTGCAAAATGGGCGATGTCCCTTGATTTCCCTATGACTTCCCCTGACTTCCGTTTCAAACACTGATAGAAAGCAAAACGGGGTCACTGGCAAACCAGACGCACCATGCTTTGTACCCGTCACAGGCCGGAAGCACTGGGCGTCCCTCGTGGCGGTCCGGATTGTGTCCATGGACTTCACATTCTCAATGTCTCGAACCTGCGATGCGGTTGCTCTGGAACCTGCCAGCCTGCAGCCTCAACATGAGACGACGTGAGAAGACGTGAGACGACGTGAGACGACGTGAGATGACAGTTGCAGCACCAAGTTCCGAGAGTGACTCCGAATTTGTTCCTGGCCTCCGTGGGCTCTCCGAACTCTACAAGGATCCAGGGAGGAGTCTCTCTGTCCAGGGCGTAGCCCACCGTCTTCATCTGAAAGCGCTTCGTCCTTTGGTCCCTTAGCAAACAGGTTGCCTCTACCCTCTCATTCCTTGAATTTCGGGGCGCAGCGGGTCACTTGCCCAGGAAATGACCTTCGTTGCGCCAACTGTAACCTGAGCAAGCGGTGGCCAATGGAGTCTGAAATGCCAAAGCTCTCTTCACTGTGTCATGTACAAGCGGGCCGTACAGTTGCACACACAACTCGTGACCGTTGATCCGACGTTATCACTGTCTCCCAGCACAAATGGATTCTGCCGAAGCAGCTGTGCAAAGATCTTCAGAGGCGAACAGATTGAGCTGCTTCACCTTGATCCGAACCTCGGATCCGTGACCCCAATGACTTGGATTCGGACCCCATGTGAGCTCCACACTGGTGCTTCGAGCCAGTTATTCCGCACACGCACGGTCAGGATTTCAGGAAAATGTATTACCTGGCTCGCCGAAAGCTCTCAGATTCGCTCTCTCAGCGACAAAGGGAATATGGGAACACTTCGTGCACTGCCGCATATTCGGTCTGCATTCGGAGCGCGTTGAGACGAAGGCTTTTGCAAGCGAGCCTTGCCCTGTCTGTCCTCTGCCACAGAGGTCTTCATGGCGGGATTGACCTGCAGTGAATGCCGGAGGGCGAAAACCGTCCGGCAATGCGCTGACAAACAACAGATGTCTCCGTTTTTGGACCCCTCACAAGTTCTTGCAACTGGTGTCAAGCGGGACCCCGTAACTTGTACTCAATTCATGAGGGCATTGAGGAGCAGGCTGCACATTCCACGGCCAAATAGATATCCCCACGGCCATCCTGCCACGGCTGCGTCTATTGTGTTCATAACAGCTCGTGCACCATTCATCATGCCATACTCTACTGGCACGGATCCGACCGGGGCGCATGCGTCAAACACGCAAGCACCAAACGGCGCAATCCTTCAACACAGCAGTTGCGCGCGGTGTGCAACTTCATTTGTAGCGGCCCAATATACAGAACCACGCTTGACGCCAGAAGCAATGAGCAGGCCATCTTCACAAAGAGATCAGGGTTTCCACAAACTGCACAGGCCTTTGACACAACGGCGAAGCTCAGCTCTTGCAACTCAGGCCAGGAAGGCAAATGGAAGGTCACCAACGACTATGTTCCTCAACTCCACCTTAATGCAAGAATGACTCGAATCACCTAGATATTTTGCCTGCCAAGCACAGGCAATAACTCATTCACGTGTGGCTCTGCAAAGGCTTTTGTGCTGTTGGCAAATGAGGTCTGAGCTGTGTAGGTTGAGAGACCCAAGCACTTGCCCAGGACCTTGACCAAATTCTGCCTGCGTTGATAGCTTAACACAGCTGCAGTACGAGACCCACTCAAAACTTGGCCTACGCATTCTGCGAGGGCAGAAGCCGCACATCGTCAAATTTCGGGTCCACTCACAAGTGCAGGTTCCGCCTGGACGATGTTTAAGTTCTTGCAGGGGAAATGGCTCATACAAAAGACAGCCGGAGTAGGTACCCGGCAGCATTGACAAAAGCAGCACCATATGCAGTCCAAGCAAGAACCGTGAAGCTTGTCGTCGCCCGTCAGGGCTATCATCACATTTCGCCTGTACCTCACCAGGACATGACATCGTGCGCGACCTGGCTACTGATGAACGTTGATTGAAATTTCAAGCCATGCCAGCATCACTGCCACAGGCATACCAAAGCGATGAGCACAGCAGCACCAACCAGAAATTCAGACGCAGTATCCACCGGGTTGAATACGTACACCTGAGACGCCAGCCTTTCTATCATGCGAAACAATGGGCCACTGCACGCAAGCAACTTGCACAGGCATCTTGCTTCTTTCTCGCCAACACTGGCCGCCATACTTGCAGGTACATAATAATAATAATAATAATAATAATCATAATGAATAATAGATAATGAAAAATAAATAATAAATAAATAATACATAAATAATAAATAAGTAATAACTAATAAATAAATAATACATAAATAATAAAAATAATAATAATAATGATAATAATAATAATAATAACAATAATAATAATAATAATAATACTAATACTAATACTAATAATAATAATAATGATAATAATAATAATAATAACAATAATAATAATAATAATAATAATAATAATAATAATAATAATAATAATAATAATAATAAAAATAATAATCATAATAATACTAATACTAATACTAATAATAATAATAGTAATAACAATAATAATGAATAATAATAATAATAAATATATATGTATATATATCAGTAGAGATATATAATTATATATAGCCCTATATACATATACGTATATGCCACAAACTCTGAGCCCTGCACCATTTTTGCGACACTGTGGGACCGCCCGAAGCAAGCGTGAGGCAAATCAAGTCCGAAGGATCAATCGCATTAAGCTGCCAGCTTAGCTTGCCCTGGCTTTACCCTGGTTGACTTTGGATGCTGAATGGACCTTTGAAATGATAGGGCGTGCTTGTCCGCTTGCAACTGGCTTGAGCTTGCCAGCTTTTCATCAGGAACGTGTCCCCAGTTGTATCAATGTCATGCTGATCCCAGGGTGCACGCAGTCCCCTCAATCTGACACCGCAAGCGACACCTGATGAGTGTGCACCCCCGAACCTCAGACCGGTCACCCACGCGCACCTCATCTTTCTCTATCTGGACACCCCGGTGCTTGTCACCAGTCCGCACAATCACACCCCATGCAAAACACCGTATCCCGCATCTTCGCGCACGGTGTTAACCCAGAGCTTGGACACGTCCTTGCCGATTCAGAATCCGCTCACTTTGGAATCACTTCGAGAGGCAGCCTTGGCTTCCAATGGCTTTGACTGGTGTTATTGATTTTTGTTACACACGTCATAGCGAGTCATAGCCAGCAAATCGCCGAAAGACCAACATTGTAAACGTCAATTTAGCGTTTGCGCAATAGGTCATGTCAACACAAGGCTATGCCCGCAAGAGCGCTCAACCTGTGAGAGTTGGTACATGTACTTCAAGCAACACTCAATCTGTGTGGTGCTGGAAATGGCACGTCAAAGTGGTGGGCAGGCGCATCCAATTTGAGATGCTTTGCGAAGGCTCCATGTCTCACAGGGTAAAGCCAAACGTAAAGAATCCCATGCCTATGCCTAAGTTCACAATCCTGCGCCAACGTGCAATGGTTCTCAGCTTCTCATACAGCCACAGCCAAAAATCATTGTATCCCCAGGGGACATGGGCATGGGAATTTGTCAAGTAAAGCCGTATGATAGCCTATGTTGCAATGATAGTTTTGCTGTCCTCCTGTAGATGATGGGGAGTATTGACCGCCACTCCTTTCCAGGCCCGCGACATGAGTGCTCCATTGCAAGCATCGGCCTCGGTGTTAGCGAACGCAGCTATGCTCCACTTTCCAAGCCAAACAATTCTGCAGCTAGAAGGGCCGTACGCAACAGTCTCTGCAAACAGGTGTAACACAAGAAGCAGCAATTTAACAGTCAGCTCAACGTCTTTAAGCTGGCCCGCCTGAATCAGACTGAAGTTGACAACCTGCAAACATATTCGTAGCTTCTGGTGTATGCAGGCATTTCAAACAAGGCTGTGCCTGAATTGCTGTTCCTGGTCCAAGCGGAACTGCCTCAAAGAGGTCGGCAGCGCAAGTCAAGGCATTGCGATTCACTGCCTGCAAAGCTGGATGCTTCTGGTGCAGCAGCATCCTGGTCCGTTCATCACGTTTCCTGCTGTAAATGTCAAACTGCCAGCCTAACAACTGACCCATCAGGCAATCGAGGATCAAATGAAGGCCCCTTAGCATAAAAGGGCCGAGCTTGTGGTGCATGCAGCGTGTGCGTGCACATACAAACATGCACACACAACATGCAATGAAAGCAATGCGCCGTTGCCTGGACAACAGAGCGAATTAGAATACCTTCTGCTCCTTCGTGCACCTGGCATGGCAAAGCACGACGCGTGTTGCAATGGCTGCAAAGGCCTCGTGCACTGCCAAGGCCACCGGCCTATCATGCGTTGTGAATCGTTTGTTCTTGAGCTTAAAAAGAGGCTAAAAAGGCTAAAAAGGCTAAAAAGGCATAAAGCTAAGAAGTTTGTCAGTGTGAATTGGTGCGAATAAGCTTCGAGCATCTCCGACTGTCTGGCCTCCATCAGCTGCGTGGAATTGTTTGTCACTCGGGCGAGAGAATCAAGAAATCCGAAGCCTTGGGCCTCTCGTTCTCCTTACCTGGAAAAACTCAAGGTATGTAAAAGGCTTTCTCTTGCATGCATCCTGCAAGCAAACCATCAACCAACAAACAGTGCCTTGCTGGAATATGGACTGTGTCAGGTAATGCCGCACCTTGGGTGGAAGACATTGATCAAGTGACTCGCATGCGCCCAAAACACCTGGAAACCTTGTCTTGGCCGCACACACTGCAGGCAAAGCGATCCTGCAAGCCTCGAGGAACTGCTTTGTGCTTTCGCGAAGGCGCCAAGTGAACCTCGTGCTATAAGTCAAGGCCCCTGGCAAGCCACTGCATATCTCGCATCTAGGCAACGGGCAGAAAGCTCCATCCAATCCGACAGGCATCCTCTTCTAATGTCTGCCTGGTTGCTAGTCACCGCGCAATGGATAGAAATGACAATATGGCGATGAATTCGCTGCTCTCCCCCCCCCACACCGGCGGCACCTCCGACACATCTGGCTCCGAGGCAACCTGAAGAAGCGCTTTCTGACTCGCAACACCATGCAGCCATGCGCGGGTTTTGGATCACATAGCACTGATGATCGCCTTGCCCTTCTTCGTCAGCCCATCTGCCTCGACATGTCGGTCGAGCACGCGTCTAACGAATCACTGCTTTGTTGGTTTGACCAAGCCAATCTCACAATCCATGCATGTCAGAGAGGAGAACACCACACACGTTGTAATAATGTTGAGCACTTGACGCCAAACGACCTCCAGAACATATTGGGACCCCAGGCAGCTAGAATGGCCCAAGCAGCACTGCAATGTGAACATCAGTCAGCCAGGAGTCCGCTGACACGTATTTCAGCTGCGTTTTTTGCACATTCGGCAAACTTACACCCGGACAAAGGCGCAATGGTTGGCAAGCGAACACAGCGCAATGCAGATCTGCGCCTGCCTACAACACACAACTTTGCCTAAAGCCAATACTGCTTTGGGACGTAGCCTGATGGCGTGTGCAGGCGCCTGCCGGCTGCGGAAGCGATCGGCTCCAAGCACCTGGGCTGGCCACCCGTCCGAGTTGACCAAGCTTGTTCCGCAAAAGGCTTGCGCTGCACGTTGCTTGGCAGCCATGAACACCAGTGCCGGCTAAGGCATCCCCAGTATCTGTGTGATCCGTTCTGAGTCGCTGCTCGATATAGGAAACATTGTTGCGACAGGAATTGGGAATAGAGCTGCTCGTTTGTTGAGTGCGCATAGCTTATCGACTTGCTGCACAATTCTATACGGCAATGAGCTGATCCTAAGAGCCATCTTGCTTGAACCTCCACAACTCGTAACCGCTCACCACCAAGGGATGTAAGCAGAGGGAACGAATTATCAGTAATTCAAAGACAGCTTTGGCAGAGACTCGAATACACGAAATGCGGGTATAACCGCACAATTTTCGAGGTACGTAGGGTTGAAGCCCTGAATATAGGGAACAGGACGTTGCGCTATGGCGCCATCACTTACCACATCTCTGCTGGATGGGCTTCCTGGGTTTCAGGGTTGGTTGAAGGGGAAGCTTCAGATTGGCTTGAGGTAGGCTTTGACCCCTGTTCCCTCACGGAGCGCCAGCAGTTTGACCACATTCGCTGAAAGCATGGACAAAAGCACGTCTTCCTTAAATCCTTGCTTACTTCCTTCAAAATCCCAAGCATTGCCAGCATCATCCCGATTAATTCAAAAACATGCAGGGTGTGCTGGCGATGGTACAAGACTGCGTGAAGGTGAATGAATGAAGGGGAATGGAGGGCAGTGAACTGAATGGAAATGAAGGGAGATGAAGAGAACCTAACTGAGAAATGAAGGGCTGAGTCTAAATAAGCTATCAAATCTATATTCGACTATAGTCCATCTTCTTTCAATGGTTAATCAGTTCTATTATCGAATGGGTGTTTATGTCATGTAGGTAAACCATATGTAAACTCAGTTCATTAGGTATTTCAAGCTTGCTTGTCAACGATGACTGTTCATCTGTTCCTCTCTACTATTGAACACATGTTTAAGTTCGCAATTTTGAATAGCTTGTTTTGAACAAATGCGTGCGCAAGTCAAGTCGTTCCTTTGTTGATCATTCTCGCTGAACCGCCCAGTCCAATTCATGTGATGCCTCATCGGTTTGTTCAGAAAGCTATTGTTTGACGGCAATAAGCGAGGTTTTCTGCCCGTGCCCGGCCGACCCACGTCGAAACCTGCCAATGCGCGAGAGTCCATTTTTACTGCACCAGCAGCACAGGAGCTTTTGGAGCTCAGAGCACTTCGCTGAAATCGCATTGGGACCTTCGGGCCCCTTCCCGTAGCTCCAAGCTCAAAGGAGCTGAAAGGAGGGGACTGTTGCGCGCCGCCTGCCCTCACTCCCGGCGACATGCCGATGCTCGCTAGAGGAATGCGGCAACATGCCGATGCTCGCTAGAGGAATGGACATGCACGAATCCACGGCGTCCTGTCACATGCGCTGCATCGCCTCCCTTCATACCCTTTAACGTCAGTGATGTCAGTGAGTCTGATAACGGGCAAATGCCGATTGCTTCAATAGTCCAGCACAAGTAACAACGAATCCCTTGACATTGTGATGGGGCTCATCGCGCGCCTGATCATGAACCCGCCAACTCTAGGAGGAGGACTTTCTCGGAGTCCTGGCAAGGCTTAGCAACCCCAAAGCAAGGACCTAAGGAAGGACTTGCCTCCCGTGGTAGATGTCATAGATGATGGATGGGTCCGACCTGCAGCTTGCATTTCGTGATGGTCACACAAGGACTGCACACTGAAAAGAAAACAACAGGCGACTTGGAGACTGATGGCGGAAGCTTAGGTCAAGGCTGTGGCGGATACTCGACAGGCTTGTAGTGCCTGTCAAGGCGAGGGGCTGTTCCAGTATGTCCCGGCCGAATCGACAAGCAGCTCGCTGACATGCCTGATGAACCATTCCTGTGCAGGAAGCAACACGCACCAAACCGTTCGCCAAGCGCCAAGCCTGAACATCTGGATGGTTGCCAACGAGCACCAGGATGGTGGGCAGCGAGAAAACTGCCCAAATCCAGGCAAGGCCTGCAGCAATTCTCGATACTCGCACATGTTGCGGCATGCCCTTCCTGCTCCTGCCTTGTTGCTTCTGCAGCTTGCGAAGCGGACCAGGCCGATTGAACTGGTTGTCGAAGAAACCCAGAACTGGCGAAACAA